CACCACATAAGCAAAAAGAAAAAAGCCGGAAGTGGCGCTGTGGCTCAAGTGGTAGAGTGCTAGCCTTGAGCTGAAGAGCTGAGGGACAGCGCCCAGGCCGAGTACAGGCCCCACGATCGGACCCAAAAAAAAATTTAAAAAAAAAAAAAGAGTTTTCTGAATCCTCAACCTACAAAAATCAGGAAAATTACTTTCAGGGTTGTGATAATTACAAAAAATACCCTAGATAAGCAAGCAAGAACAGCTTCTGTTATTGAAAAAAAATTAGCTTAGAAAAATATTCTTTGAGCTTTTTTTTCTTTTCCTTCCCCTGTCTCTGCACTCTTCCATCTCATGCAGGCTGGCAGTTTGCTCCCCGCGCCCCCCAATAAACTCTTTGCTACCTGAATAAAAATAAAAAGAAAAATATTCTTTGAGCTGGTAGCCAGTGTCTCAGGCCTGTAATCCTAGCAACTCAGAAGGCTGAGATTTGAGGATTGTGGTTGAAAACCAGCCAAGACAGGAAAGTCTCTAAGACTCTTATCTCCAATTAACTACCAGAAAACTGGAAGTGGCACTGTGGCTCAAAGTGGTAGAATGCTAGCCTTGAGAGAGCTAGCTCAGGGACAGTGCTGGGCTCTGAGTTCAAGCCCCTCAAAATAAATAAATGAATTTACTAATCCTTTAAAACCCTCCACTGTATTTATTACTTATAAAGGCACCTAAAACAGCATGTCAACATCAAAAATTTTACCGGTTTCCACTCCCCTGAGCACAAATTGTTCTTGTTATATAAGAACCAAAAAATATTACCAGAACTATACAGCAGACTGGATTTCTATGAAGCAACAGTGGTAATAAAACAGTCTTAAAAACTTCCACTGTAGTAAGAGTCTCCATGGAATTGAAGCCATGGCTCATGCCTGTAATCCTAGCTACTCAGGAGGCTGAGATCTGAGAATCATGGTTTAAAGCCAGCCTGGGCAGTAAAGTCCATGAGACTCTTATCTCCAATAAAGCACCAGAAAACCAGAAGTGGTGCTGTGGCTCAAGTGGTAGAGCACTTGCCTTGAGCTGAATTGCTGAGGGACAGTGTCCAGGCCTAGAGTTCAAGCCCCACAACCAACTAAAAAACCCAAAAACACACACACAAAAAAACCCCACAGCATAGGTACTGTCCCATCACCACTCACCGCTTAGTGCCCTTTGTTTTTGGATTTTTGGCAAACAGAGAGGTGTCAAGAGACTCCAGTGATTTTCCTTTGGTGCTGAACAGCCTCTGGGCTCGTTCCTCTAGGGTCCTAAAGAGAGAGGGGCACAGGATTTCAGAGTGACTTCACTACACAGGCAGTGTGGGTGACAGAAAAAATGTAACCAGAGGCATGAAGAGGATCACACAAACATACAGCAAATGGTAGTTTTGATGGAAAAGTGAGTCCTTACCCACCACATTTCAGGCCTAAAGCTAAGAGTGCAGATTTCAATCTGTCCAGACCCAGGGAAGCCAACTCCTGTAATAAAACACACAAATTACAGTACCACATAATTTGGGGAAATAGTAAATGCAGATTAGTGTGTGGTAGTTCCCAGGCTGTGGCGTGGGAGCATGTTCCACAGACTGATGCCATGTAGTAAGTTCAAACTCTCCACAGAACTGATTCTGAGACATGTTCAGACTCAAGTCATACTGGTAGTGTTCTAATACCTTCATCACAGCTTAACTTAAACTGGAATTATTATTTCCCAGTTTTCATAGTTGGATATGGCTTTTTGTTTGCTATTTGCTTTTGTTTTGCAGTGCTAGGAATCAAACCCAGGACCTTGTGATCCTCAGATCTCAGCCTCTTGAGTAGCTAGGAATTACAGGTGTGAGCCACCAGTGCCCAGCTAGATTTCCTTTTTATCCTCCCGCATTCCTTATATATATCTGTTCCCAGGAAATGGTGTTTTATTATTATAGGTCCAAGGTATTCAAGATAGGAGTACAAGTGTTTTCTCTCAAAGACGTACAGGTGAGACCAGTACTGCTGCTGGAAACATACCTCCCAGGAGGAGAACGCAGAGAGGTCAAGATGGGCTCCAGCATGGGTCAAGGCACTGCTTGTTTCTTTCTGGAAAAAAGAAGAGGTGCTTATTAAAATCCAAGTTTGGAAGTAGCGCTATAGCTCAAAGTGGTAGAGCGCTAGCCTTGAGCAAAAGCACTCAGGGACAGCTCCTGGGTTCTCAATTCAAGCCCCACTACTGGCAAAAAATAAATTAAAGAAATTAAAAAATGAAATAAAATTCAAGTTTATTCAGATGAAGGTGAGAGAGCCATCCAAATTACCAGGTATGGTTGGCTCCTTTATTATACACACTTGTAAGTAAGGACCAAACAGGAATTGAGTATAGAACAGATGACCTGAGCCATGTGTAGTAGTGCACACCTGCTATTCAGCACTCAGGAAGGAAGAAGGTTCAAGGCCAGCTTAGGTACAAAGCAAGACTCAGACTCAAGAAAGCAAAAACAAAAAACAAAACAAGCCAGGCACTGGTGGCTCAGCCTATAATCCTAGCTACTCAGGAGGTTGAGATTTCAGGATCATAGTTTGAAACCAGCCCAGGCAGACAAATCCCAGGCTCTTATCTCCAATAAACTCGCAAAAAGCTAGAAATAGAGCTGTGGTTTAAATGGGAGAGTGTCATCCTTGAACAAAAAAAGCTAAGGGGTACACTCAGGCTGAGTTCAAGCTCCAGTACCAGAACTAAATAAATAAGTAAATAAATAACAACAACAACAAAAAACACCCAGATGACTAATAAGTCATTGAATTTCAAGAAAAACAAGTTTACCATCAGGAATAAAAATACATAGATTTGTATAGCACAATCTGATCAAATAAATAAGTAGATAACAATAAATAAATAAATAAATTTTAGGTTAGCAGGCACCACACAGCAACCATAAGGTAGGCAGTAAAAATCCTGGGCACAATCAATGGCAAATCCTTTTTTTTAATGTTCGTGGTGGGACTTGAACTCTGGGCCTGGGTGCTGTCCCTCAGCTCTTCAACTCAAGGCAAGTGCTCTACCACTTGAGCTACAGCCCACTTCCGGTTTCCTGAATGGTTTATTGGAGATAAAAGTCTTACAGAGTTTGCTGCCCAGGCTGGCTTTGAACTATGATCCTCAGATCTCAGCCTCCTGAGTAGCTTGGATTACAGGTGTGAGCCACTGATGCCCCCTCAATGACAAATCTTGTGCCAAAGAATACAAAGAAAGGGCTGGGAAGGTAGCTTAGTGGTAGAGTGCTTGCCTTGCATGCATAAAGCCCTGCATTCGATTCCTTAGCACCACATAAGCAGAAAACGCTGGCCCCATGACCGACAAAAAAAAAAAGCAAAAAAAAAAAAGAATACAAAGAAAACGGAGCATACCTGCCAGAGGACACTTCCTGGACAGAGCTTATACTGAAAGAACAGCGACTAATGCCTGAAGCAGAAGCCCAACAGTGAAGTAAAATAGCCATTTCAAGGCCTGGCATGACCTCTACCCACACCCCATGAAAGCTCACCGGCCACCCAGGGAAGGTGCCATTTTCCCACTTCTTCTCAAATTCGTTCTGAATCTTCCCAAAAAGTTCATTTTGATCTTGAAGGGGCTTCACTCTGTCTGTGTAATCCTGAAGGTACTCAAGCAGCATCTCCAGGTACCTACAAAGGAACACACAGTATACAGAGAGAAAATAGGGTTTCTACTGTTGATACACTCTTTTACTCCATAAATTTCACTCATAATTCTAGTAATACTAGTTTTTTTTTGTCGTTGTTTTTTGGTTGGTCATGAGGCTTGAACTCTGGGCCTGGGTGCTGTCCCTCAGCTCTTTAGCTCAAGGCTAGTGCTTTACCACTTGAGCCACAGCACCACTTCTGGTTTTCTGGTGGTTAACTGGAGATAAGAGTCTCATGGACTTTCCTGCCTGAGTTGGCTCTGAACCGTGATCCTTAGGATCTCAGCCTCCTGAGTAACTAGGATTACAGGTGTGAGCCACCAGAGCCAGACTGAGTCACTTATTTTTGGATTCCAAGGTCTCCTGAATGCTAGGCAAGTACTCCACTACTGAGCGGCATCTTCAGCCCAACAATCATTTTTCAATGTGCTTATTTTCACGCCATCAATACCCCCTCCTTCCACCATTTTATGTCAGTACTGGAACTTGAACTTTAGGCCTTGCACTCTTGGCTTTTTCAATCTTGGCTGAATCCTTGAATCCTTCCCCTAGTTCTAGCTTTTTGCTGGTTAATTGGAGATGAGTCTTACAGACTTTCCAGCCCAGGGTGGCTTCAAACATTGATCCTCATACTTGAACCTCCTGAGTAGGCAGGATTACAGGTGTGAGCCAGCTTCTCACTCCTTTTATCCTCATAACATAATGCCAATTTTTCGTCTTAATTAACTCACAAATAACTATTTCTGGTAAAAAGAAAGTGAGAAAAAGAGGGGAAGTTAGGAGTATAGGTTCACTAACCAGGAGCAGAGTTAACACAAAAATTTGGGTTTAACATCATATCTAGGCACCTCATTTTTGCCACAATCTGAGAAAAATCTAAAATTTTTCACATTAAACTCTAAAAACACAGATGTCCCTGAATGGGAGGCTTCCTTCTACAATTAAGCAAATTCAAAAATAGTATGGGTATAAGATTGAAGATGTGCTCACAAATTCATCTTGTCCAAAGCCAAATTCATCTTGTCCAAAGCCAGAGAATTATAAATATTCTATCTTTTAAGCCAGGCACCAGTGGCTCAAGCCTGTAATCCTATTTACTGAGGTGGCAGAGACTGGAGAAGCTCTAGAAGCCAGCTTGAGTAGAACAGTCTTAGAGATTTTGTTTCCATATTATCTAGCCAAACACTGCACTGGAGGTATGGCTCAAGTGGTTGAGCAACAGTCATAATTAAAAACAAAACAAAACAAAAAGCTGAGTGAAACTAAGAGGCTTGGAGTTCAAGCCCAGGTAGTACTGGAAAAACAAAACAAAAACTGCTTTGTTCATAGCTCTCAAACCCAATAAGCCATAGAAGTTATTCAAGCAAACTTTTTTTTTTTTTGGGTTGGTTGTGGGTCTTGAACTCTGGGCGCTATCTCTCAACTCTTCAGCTCAAGATGAGCACTCTACCACTTGGGTTACACAGCCACTTCTGGTTTTCTGGTGGTTAATTGGAGATAAAGAGTCTCACAGGCTTTCCTGCCTTGGCTGGCTTTTAACCGCAATCCTCAGATCTCAGCCCCATGAGTAGCTAGGATTATAGGTATGAGCCACTGAAACCCAGCTCATGTATACCTTTTGGGCAACAAAATTCAAAACTTTGCCCTCAAAGCTGCATATTTTCTTTTCCTTTATTGGTATCAGTCCTGGGGCTTGAACTCAGTGCCTGGTTAGTACTCCTGAACTTCTTTGGCCAAGGCTAGTGCTCTACTACTTGAGCCACAGCTCTACTTCCAGCTTTTTGGTAGTTTACTGGAGGTAAGAGTCTCACAGACTTTCATGCTCAGGCTGGCTTGGAACTTCCATCCTCAGATCTCAGCTTCCTGAGTAGCTAGATAACAGGCATGACCAACTGGCGCCCCACCTTCACCTTTTTTTTTCCTTTTTTAGTCAGTCGTGGGGCTTGAAATCTGGGCCTGAGCCCTGTCCCTGCGCTCTTCAGCTTAAGTTAAGCACTCTATCATTTGAGCCACAGTACCACTTCCAGTTTTCTGGTGGTTAATTGGAGATGAGAGTCTCATGGACTTTCCTGCCTGGGCTGGCTTTGAAAGGCAATTCTTAGATCTCAGCTTCCTGAGTAGCTAGGATCACAGGTGTGAGACACCAGCTCCCAGCTTTTACCCACCCTTCCTTCCTTCCTCCCTCGTTCTCCCCCCCACCTCTCTTTCTTTTCTTTTGTGCCAGTCCTGGGGCTTGAACTCAGGGTCTGGACACTGTCCCTGAGCTTCTTTCTTGCTCAAGGCTAACTTTACCACTTGAGCCATGGCACCACTTCCGGCTTTTTCTGTTTAAGTAGTACTGAAGAACTGAACCCAGGGCTTCATGCAGGCTAGGCAAGCACTCTATCAGTAGGCCACATTCCCAGTCATTCACATTACTTTTGAATTCAATTCAGTAGAAGCCTACAAGATGTTAATACTTACCTCTTAGACACACACACACACACACACACACACACACACACACACACACACAACTTACCTCTTATATTCTGCATTCTTCCTTTCTTTAGGAATGTCAAATAACTGGTCAAAGATGGACAAGTATGTGATATAATCCAACTTCTAAAAGGAGAAAGTGAAAACAAAAAAGTTTGGTGAGTGTACTAACTTAAAATTAATCTTCAGGGGGCTGGGAAGGTGGCTCAGTGGTAGAGTGCTTGCCTTGCATGCCTGAGGCCCTGGGTCCGATTCCTCAGCACCACATAAGCAAAAAGAAAAAAGCCGGAAGTGGCGCTGTAGCTCAAATGGTAGAGTGCTAGCCTTGAGCTGAAGGGTGAGGGACAGCGCCCAGGTCCAGAGTTCAGGCCCCATGACCCGACCAAAAAAAAAAAATTAATCTTCAATAAGTGAGATGAGAATTGATTATTGTCTAGTGAAATAATAAGGCCTGGCTTACTTTAGTTTTTATTTCACCATCCTTTAGTACAAATAGTGATTTGGTTCTTCTGAACCAAGTAAAAGAATATCAGATACATCATTAACTCTACAAAATAAATATCAAGTTAACAAGCAGTAATACAAAAGAAACATTTGCTGCTATGTACTACATGTCAGACATATCTTGAGCTAAACTATGACATCCTAAAATAAAGTCCTGAAAGGTGCCAAATGATTATTCATACCACCACTTATTGAGCATCTTTCTCCCAAGTAGAGGGATCCAGAAAAGAACAAAATGAATAAGCAATCTGTCCTCAGAGCTTAAAGTTTAGTCACTTCATTCTGGAGATATTTCTTCACAATTCTATAAGAAATAATCATAAACTTCCTGGAGCCTTTCTGAGACTGTCATATTCAGCTTCACTTCCTATGATGGGCTATTTTTGTTGTTGTTGTTTGTAGGGCTTGAACTCTGGATTTGAGGGCGGCGCTTCAGCTCAAGGCTAGAGCTCTACCACAGCATCACTTCTGGCCTTTTCTGTTTCTGTGGTGCTGAGGAATCAAACCTAGGGCCTCATGCATGTGAGGCAAGCACTCTACTACTGAACCACCTTCCCAGCCCACGATGGGCTATTTTTTTTTTTGGTCGGTCATGGGGCTTGAACTCTGGGCCTGGGCGCTGTCCCTCAGCTCTTCAGCTCAAGGCCAGCGCTCTACCACTTGAGCTACAGCGCCACTTCCAGTTTTCTGGTGGTTTATTGGAGATAGGAGTCTCACAGTCTCTCCTGCCTGGGCTGGCTTTGAACCGCGATCCTCAGATCTCAGCCTCCTGAGTAGCTGGGATTACAGGCGTGAGCCACCAGCGCCCGGCTACGATGGGCTATTTTTAAGTGTCCTTTAGAAAAGATATTGCATAGACGTTTGCTGGAAAGGATCATGCTGTACCTCTCATAACGTAGTACTATATGCACCTATCCCAGAATATGGTTTTATGGGTTTAAACAATGTTTTTTTGTAGTTGTTTTCATTTCGTTTTTTGTCGGTTGTGGGGCTTGAACTTTGGGCCTAGACACTGTCCCTCAGTTCTTCAGCTCAAAGCGAGCACTTTGGACTTTCCTGCCTGGGCTGGCTTTGAACTGTGATCCTAAGATCTCAGCCTCTTGAGTAGCTAAGATTAAAGGCATGAGCCACCAGTGCCTGGCAACAATGTTTACTTTTATTTATGAATTTATCTTTTGGTTGGTGCTGGGGCTTGAACTCAGGGCCTAGGTGCTATCCCTGAGTTTTTTTGCTCAAGGCTAACATTCTAACACTTTGAGCAACAGCTCCACTTCTAGTTTTCTAGAGATAAGAGTCTCACAGAAATTCTTGCTCAGGCTGGCTTCAAACTGCCTCCTCAATAGCTAGGATTACAGGCATGAGCCATCCAGCACCAGGCAGAAGAGTTTATTTTCACAAAAGTAAATGTGCATGTTATATAAACAAAATAATGCATCAATACATAAAATGTTTGTTGAATTTACTGTAAAAACCTGAGTTTCATTTTGAATAGTTTCATTGATGAAAGTGAATTGCCTATTTACTAGGCATGCAATAGTTACTAAGCACAGGGAAAAACTGTTGATTGTCCATATCTTAATAGTTTTGGCTCAGCGGCATGATATAGCCCAAGAATCAGACCCTCTCTCTTCTCTCCCCATCCTTACCTCAGATGCCTTCAGGTTAATGTACTTGAGGTAACAGTCATGGAGATCAAGGTAACGACCATATCCTTCTTCATCTGTGAATTCCACCAAGTCTGAAGGAATCACATATATTAATGACTCAGACATTAGACATTTTTCCAATGGACTGTTTCCAACTCCATGAGGCAATCCTTTTCCCAAATGTCTTTTCTATCTTACAAAGTCAACAGACCAGCTTTCCAGGCCAGTGGACTTAAGCAAGGACAGCACAAAATGAACGTTTTGTAAAAAGCCAGCTTAGGATATCAATCTAATCTAAAAACCAGTGAATATAAAATCAGCAGAAAAACCCAGCTCTAAGCTCCTTGAGGCCTGGTGCACAAATCTGAGCTGTCACTAACTTGTATGTTTGTAAAGGAGAAAAATGTTAAATCTGACTTACTCTGTGCCTCTTCACTTGGATTCTCTCGTGCCTTTAAGAGCTCTTCAAATTCCACTGACATTGGCACGCAGATCTAGGAGACAAGAGAAATGTTCAGGTGGGTTTGCTGATGTAAAACTCCATGTCTTAGAAATGAAACATACATAAAGTTGCACTTCTGACAAATTACTTGGCCTTACTTTTTTCAAGAGAAGCCAGTTACTTTTTTCACGTATTGTCTAAAAATACATGCTCAAGAAAACACAAGAAGGAAAACCTCAAATAACATAAAAGAATGCAAATCCTCATTTACTGAAAACTTTTACTTCTGAAAATAGGTAGCCACTATTAACAACCTTTTTCTACACTATAAGTTCCCAAACTTTGCTGTATGTTAGCATCACCTGGGGGAATATTAAAAAATTCCTTATGCAGCCAGGCGCTGGTGGCTCATGCCTGTAATCCTAGCTACTCAGGAGGCTGAGATCTGAGGATCGCGGTTCAAAGCCAGCTCAGGCAGAAGAGACTGTGAGACTCCTATCTCCAATAAACCACCAGAAAACCGGAAGTGGCGCTGTAGCTCAAGTGGTAGAGCGCTCACCTTGAGCTGAAGAGCTGAAGGACAGCGCCCAGGCCCAGAGTTCAAGCCCCATGACCGACAAAAAAAAAAAATTCCTTATGCCGGGTGCTTGTGTCTCATGCCTGTAATCCTAGCTACTGAGGAGGCTGAAACAGGAGGATCTCGGTTCAAAGCCAGCCTGGGCAGGAACATCTCTCATCTCCTATTAACCACCAGAAAAACCAGAAGTGGCACTGTAGCTCAAGTGGTAGAGCGCTCACCTTGAGCTGAAGAATTGAGGAACTGAGGGACAGCGCCCAGGCCCAGAGTTCAAGCCCCACCATCTTCAGTTAACCAGAAAAATGCTGGACGGGAGGCACAAATGGTAGTGCACCAGCCATAGGCAAGTAAGCTTAGGAAGAACCGGAGGCCCTGAGTTCAAGCTCTGATGATAACAAAAACAAAACAAAAAAACCCTTATGTACCTGACTTTGATTAAATCAAATGAGGGCAGATGGGACACTCTTGTAGTAGTGAGCTTTTCCTTTCTGGCCTTTTAGGCTCCCTCCTTAATCTGTTCCTTTAAGTATGTATGTCTCCTCTAGGATACTTAGGACATTCCTCCCCCTAACCTTTTCCTGCCAGCTTCTTTTGTTCTGGTTCTAGGGATAGAATCCAGGGCCTTGAGGATGGAAAGTATTCTACAATTGAGCAATAAACTCTACCGCGCGCGTGCGTGTGTGTGCTAGGTCTTTACTAACTTTGTCTGGGCTAGCTGTGAATTCAAGATCCTCTTGCCTCCCCCACTTCCAGAGTAGGGCTTACAGGTGAGAGCCACCATGCTGGGCTTCTAATAGCCTTTTTATGCATGTTCCAAATCCATACTTTTACTTACTCATTACTCACTTACCCCAGTAACCAGAGTTCATTTCCACTACTTCACTGAAACAATAATCCTGGCAATCACCAATCAACAATAGTTGATACCTTGACCACCTTTCTGAGCCTTTGTGATATAAGTGTTCATGGATAGCTTTTCTGTTAAGTACACTGTCCTAAGTGTGCCCCTAAGTGGGGCTTGAACTCTGGGCTTGGGCGCTGTCCCTGCGCTCTTCAGCTCAAGGCAAGCACTCTACCACTTGAGCCACAGCACCACTTCCGGTTTTCTAGTGGTTTATTGGAGATAAGAGTCTCATGGACTTTCCTACCCAGGCTGGCTTTGAACCTCGATCCTCAGATCTCAGCCTCCTAAGTAGCTAGGATTACAGGCGTGAGCCACAGGTGCCCGGCAAGTCTGTGAATCTTATTTTCACTTAACCACCAAAAAGCCAGAAGTGGAGCTGTGGTAGAGTACTGACCTTGAGCAAAAAAGCTGAGGGACACTACCCAGGCCCTGTCTTCAAACCCCCAGATGAGCATTTAAAAAAAATAAATAATTCTGACAATCTCTTTTTACATTTTATGTCTCCCACAACTCTATGGCTACTAGCTTTAACCATAAAGTCCATGTAATGATCCAAAAGCCAAATCAAAGCTTTCATTTCTTTTCTTTTTTTTTTTTTTTGTTGGTCGTGGGGCTTGAACTCTGGGCTTGGGCGCTGTCCCTGCGCTCTTCAGCTCAAGGCAAGCACTCTACCACTTGAGCCACAGCACCACTTCCTGTTTTCTAGTGGTTTATTGGAGATAAGAGTCTCATGGACTTTCCTACCCAGGCTGGCTTTGAACCTCGATCCTGAGATCTCAGCCTCCTAAGTAGCTAGGATTACAGGCATGAGCCACTGGCGCCTGGCTAAAGCTTTCATTTCTTGCACTAACCTGTCACCTAACTCCAACTGCTCCTAAGACACTTCACCTAAAAGTTCATGTTTGAAAAAAAGACAAAAAACCCTACATGAAAAACTCCCTTCCTTCCTTCCTTTTGTCCTTAAATCTTTTAGTATGGTCTTTAGGTAAGTTTGGAAGAAATGTTCTCTCAGGCCATACCTCATTTGGGTGCTTCCGATGGAATTCTTTTATTTGCTTAAGTCTGTTATAGAATTCAGCAAACTCATTGGGTCCTGAAATAGCATTGAGCTCTTCCTTTCTTAACCTGCAATTTCAGGAAAAATACAAATAGATTAGTGCACAAAGTTAATTCTTTCATCATATGGCTCCTCAGAAGCCCTTAATCCTAGACTGGCTGAGTGTCAACTTACCCATCCTTGTCATCATATAAATCCCTCAGGTTCCCACTGACCTCCATATACCTCTGAAATGCAAACACAAACACATCAGAATGAAATAATTGGTACAACTGGAGAGCTAACAACCAACAAGGGCCCAAGGACTTCATGAGATATGCCTTATAAGTTCCCATGCTTTCTGGAACCTTTAAGAGTCAGCTTGTGGCCAGGTGCCAGTGGCTCACTCCTGTAATCCTAGCTACTCAGGAGACTAAGATCTGAGGATCGTGGTTCAAAGCCAGCCCAGGCAGGAAAGACTGTGAAACTCTTATCTCCAATAAACCACTCAGAAAACCGGAAGTGGCACAGTGGCTCAAGTGGTAGAGAGCTTGCCTTGAGCTGAAGAGCTGAGGAACAGCATTCAGGACCAGAGTTCAGGCCCCATGACTGACAAAAAAAAAAAGTCTGCTTGGGTCTTGGTTAGTATCTAACACAAGTAAATATCTCGATTATCTAAGTAATATAATTAGGACTGGCAGGGCTGGCAAGGTAGCTCAGTGGTAGAGTGCATGTCTTGCAAGCATGAGGCCCTGGGTTCGATTCTTCAGCACCACATAAACAGAAAAAGCCGGAAGTGGTGCTGTAGCTCCAGTGGTAGAGTGCTAGCCTTGAGCTGAAGAGCTGAGGGACAGCGCCCAGACCCAGCGTTCAGGCTCCACGACCGGCAAAAAAAAAAAAAAAAGGACTGGCAGGATGATTTTATGCTTATATAGAATCACTAACTTCCCTAAAATATCTTGAACACAATAAAATGAGTTTTACTGTGTTTGCAAAATTGATATACCCTAATAGAAATGTGTGGAGAAAAAAATTATCCACACTGCTTTTGTTTAGTTTCTTTGAAAATAAGAAATCCAGCTGGGCTCCAGTGGCTCATACCTGTAACCCCAGCTACTCAGGAGGTTGAGATCTGAGGATCAAGGTTCATACAGCCCATGGAGGAAAGTCTATGACACTCTTAGCTCTAATTAACCACCAAAAAGCCAGAAGTGGAAGTGTGTCAGCCTCTAGTTAGAAAACTTTAAGAGGCAGTGCTGAAGCCTAGAGTTCAAGCCCCAAGTACCAGCAGAAAAAGAAAAGAGGAGAGGGCTAGGAAGGTGGCTCAGTGGTTGGTAAAGTGCTTGCCTTGCATGCATGAGGCCCTGGGTTTGATTCCTCCGCACCACACAAGCAGAAAAAGCTGGAAGTGGTGCTGTGGGGCTCAAGTGGTAGAGCGCTAGCCTTGAGCTGAAGAGCTGAGGGGCAGTGCCCAGGCCCATAGTTCAGGCCCTAGGACCGGCAAAAAAAAAAAAAAAACCAGTGTCCTGGAAGAAAAACATTAACATATACTTGCTCCCTTATTTCAAAGACAGTGAACCTTCTGTGTACGTCCAAGGGATATAAGATGTATCAAGGGTCATGGTTGCGAGCCTCTAAGAACGAACACGTTCCCCACTGAAGAGAGGCGAGGAAGGGCAGTGTAGCTCCTTCGCGTTAGACAGCCGTGGACTGGCCACCCCACTTGCCTGTGGTCAAGGCTCCCGTCGAGTTCCCACCTTCTCTGCCCCGCTTTTCCCGCCCACCAGGACCCAAGAAGAGACAGACTGCTGGGCACTCACGTCTTGCATGGCCCGAGTGCGGTGGTCGGAATTGATCTGGTCCCGGAGCTGCAGAAAGGCAAACAGTGACACAGAGGCCGTTAGATGAGTACTGGGGATGGGAAGGCGGCCCAAGGGCGGGGTGTACCCGCTTAGGTCTTAGCGGCTGAAGCAGAGGTGTTCTGGGGTGCGGGGACCCCCGGGAGAACGTTACCCGTGCTCCGAGGCGACCCAACAGGAGGCGGGGCCTGGGCGCAAGCAGGGTCTGCGCCCCGAGAAGGCGTTGGGAGGGTCAGCGGGACAGGGGCCCGGACGCGGCCCTGAGCACGTCCCACTCACCGTAGATTTCTTAGTGAGCATCTCTTTGGCCATGACGTCCATGAGCCTTTCCTTCTCCTCGTGGTATCGCCGCTGCTGCTCCAGAATCGTCTCCATCTTCTCTCCGCCACGGAATTTCAATTCACACCACCACCAAGGCCGGAAGCAGCTCCTGCCGCCTGTCCCGCCTGCGTATCCCTCACGTTGTGCAGCCGGCTGCACCAAAGTTCCGTGCGGGCCGGAAGTGCCTCGGGGACCGAGGGAAAAGGAACACAGGGAGCTCGAGACTATGCTACCGGGATAGCCACAGTGCCCCCTGCTGGTCGGAGGTGTAGAGGCGCCAGCCTGTAGACGCAACACAAAACTGTGAGGATGAGTGGGTCCCTAGTTTCTTGGAGCTCCTTGGAGTCCATTGGAAGAGTAGGCATATTTGAGTAGGTTGACTAGTTGAGTATGGTTGGGAGTTGAGAAACTGGAATTTCAATCCTGCTTTGTGACTTCAGATAACACTTTTTCCTTTCTCTATTCCTCAAAATCTGTTTTTTTTCTCTCTCTCTCTGCCAGCCCTGGGCTTGCCCTGGGCCCTGTCCCTGAGCTGCTACTGCTCGAGGCTAGCACTCTACCACTTGAGCCACAGCACCACTACTGGCTTTTTCTGTTTATGTGATACTGAGCAATTGAACCCAGGGCTTCATGCATGCTAGGCAAGCACTCTACCACTAACCTACATTCCCAGCCCTTTCCTGTTTTTTTTTTTTTGTCCTTTTTTTCTTCTATTGGTGCCACGCTGACCCCAGTAGAGTCTGCTTAGCATGGGAAACCATCTATCAGACCATGATAGGGGCTTCAGAGACCTATCTCTGAGTTTTGGGACTTCACTGAAGTCTACCTCAGAGAATGGGGCTTTACAGAAACCTATCTCCAAGTTTTGGGACTTCACCGAAGTCTACCTCGGAGAATAGGGCTTCTAAGAGGCCTACTCCTGGGAAAAGGCTGGCAAGCCCCTGGGAAAGATATGTTTCTGCCTATCTTTTCCTCATAAGAGTGTCTATTAATCTTTTACTGTTTCTACTGCTCTTTGTACTTACTCATTGTCAACGTTCCCTTATTTAAAGCTCTTTCTTAAGAGTGTTGACGACTCCAATATCTGATGAGTGTCTTAAAAATATGACTAACTCACCAGAGTTAAGTGCTCCCCTGAACCCCCTCTTATGGAGGCTAGTAGACAAGCCATAAGCAAATATAAAAGTATTGGGGGTTTCACAAAGTCACTTCAGCAGAAGGAATTGTTTGTAAGAGATTTACAAAAAGCTGTAGGCGCGGCTAGAACAGAAAGAATGTATGGCAATTGCTGAGATAACTACTTAGGAGAAAGAACTTCCTATTACTCTTTCATTTACTAAGAGACTTGCTAGATCTAAGTCTCCTTGGTGTTTACTATTAAAGAAGGAACAGAAAAGATCTTATGGGACAGTTAAGGCCTCTATAGAAATAAGGTAATGGTTAGTTGGTGACAAACATCAAAACCCATTATATTTCTTAGAGATAAGCTAGAAACAAGTGCCTATCAGGCGACCAGCTGGTGACCACCCAAGAATGAAGTCCTGCAGCAAGGTTGTGTAACCTTTTGCCCTTTCAGGCGACCAGCTGGTGACTGCTCAAGAATGAAGCCCTGCAGCAAGATTATGTAACCTTTTTCCCTTTCTTATGGAGATTTTTGCTATAAAAGTTTGTTATCCTCTGCATTAAATTGCACTCAGCACTCAGCATCCACTCCTAATGTGTGTGAGTTGTCTGTTTGCCATCTCCCTATCCTATTCCAGGTTCCTCCCCTAGGTGTCCTCCGTCGTACTGACAGGACCCGGTCCGTGGCATATTGGTCATGGGATTTGAACTCTGAGCCTGGGAGCTGTCCGTGAGCTCTTCAGCTCAAAGCTAGTGCTCTACCACTTGAGCCACAGCTCCACTTCTGGCTTTCTGGTGGTTAATTGGAGATGAGTCTCATGGAGGGCTGGGAAGGTGGCTCAGTGGTAGAGTGCTTGCCTTGCATGCATGAGGTCCTGGGTTCAATTCCTCAGCACCACATAAGCAGAAAAAGCCGGAAGTGGCACTGTGGCTCCAGTGGTAGAATGCTAGCCTTAAGCTGAAGAGCTGAGGGACAGTGCCCAGGCCCATGACGGGCAAAAAAAAAAAAAAAAAAAAAAGTCTCATGAACTTTCCTGCCTGGGCTGGCTTTGAAGTGATCTTCAGATCTCAGCCTCCTGATTAGCTAGGAATACAGGCCTGAGCCACCAGCTCGCGACTGTTTTTCTTCTAACATGGAGATGCTGCTTCTTCTTCTTATTATTTTTATATTATTGTTGCTGTTGTTATTACGCAAGTCCTGGGGCTTGAACTCAGGGTCTGGGAACTGTTCCTGAGCATTTTTGCACAAGGATAGTGCTGTTTTACTTAAACCACAGCTTTACTTCTTGCTCTTGAGTGATCAATTGGAGATTAGAATCTCATGGACTTTCTTGTCCAAGCAGCTTTGAACTATGATCCTTAGGTCTCAACCTCCTGAGTAGCTAGGTTATAGGCATGAGCCATTGGTGCCCCAACAGTGCTTTTTTGATTTTTTAAACAAAATTCACATGTTAAGAAATTTCATTTGTTTTATCAGCACGGGATTAAAAGTATGGTGCACCTAAACAGTGAAGTGCTATACAGTCTTGAAAAGTCAAGGTTGGGGCTGTGGGTCAGTGGTAGTAAACTTGCCCTGCATGTGAAAGCCACTGATTTCATCCCTAGCATAAGGCAGGCCTAGGAAGTTGATATTGTGTGTATGTACACTTCTAGGTAGTAAAATGAAAACGTATGGCCATGTGTTCATATGAGATTATTCATTCTCAACAAAAACTAGATGCCCCAGGATCTATTAGCTGGTTATCAGATAAGCGTAACATGGCAAGTCTATACAATGCATTATTATTCAGCAATGAAGGAATTCTAGGAGTGAACCCTGAAAACAGCATCATTGCTACATACAAAAGTCAGATGCAAAAACGACACAATGTGTGGTCAAAAAAGCAAATCCAGGCCGGGCGCTGGTGGCTCACGCCTGTAATCCTAGCTACTCAGGAGGCTGAGATCTGAGGATCACAGTTCAAAGCCAGCCTGGGCAGGAGAGACCGTGAGACTCCTATCTCCAATAAACCACCAGAAAACTGGAAGTGGCGCTGTAGCTCAAGTGGTAGAGCGCTGGCCTTGAGCTGAAGAGCTGAGGGACAGCGCCCAGGCCCAGAGTTCAAGCCCCATGACCGACCAAAAAAAAAAATAGCCCATCGTGGGCTGGGAAGGTGGTTCAGTAGTAGAGTGCTTGCCTCACATGCATGAGGCCCTAGGTTTGATTCCTCAGCACCACAGAAACAGAAAAGGCCAGAAGTGATGCTGTGGTAGAGCTCTAGCCTTGAGCTGAAGCGCCGCCCTCAAATCCAGAGTTCAAGCCCTACAAACAACAACAACAAAAATAGCCCATCATAGGAAGTGAAGCTGAATATGACAGTCTCAGAAAGGCTCCAGGAAGTTTATGATTATTTCTTATAGAATTGTGAAGAAATATCTCCAGAATGAAGTGACTAAACTTTAAGCTCTGAGGACAGATTGCTTATTCATTTTGTTCTTTTCTGGATCCCTCTACTTGGGAGAAAGATGCTCAATAAGTGGTGGTATGAATAATCATTTGGCACCTTTCAGGACTTTATTTTAGGATGTCATAGTTTAGCTCAAGATATGTCTGACATGTAGTACATAGCAGCAAATGTTTCTTTTGTATTACTGCTTGTTAACTTGATATTTATTTTGTAGAGTTAATGATGTATCTGATATTCTTTTACTTGGTTCAGAAGAACCAAATCACTATTTGTACTAAAGGATGGTGAAATAAAAACTAAAGTAAGCCAGGCCTTATTATTTCACTAGACAATAATCAATTCTCATCTCACTTATTGAAGATTAATTTTTTTTTTTTGGTCGGGTCATGGGGCCTGAACTCTGGACCTGGGCGCTGTCCCTCACCCTTCAGCTCAAGGCTAGCACTCTACCATTTGAGCTACAGCGCCACTTCTGGCTTTTTTCTTTTTTCTTATGTGGTGCTGAGGAATCGAACCCAGGGCCTCAGGCATGCAAGGCAAGCGCTCTACCGCTGAGCCACCTTCCCAGCCCTCATTTTCTCTTCTTGAGACAAGAGTAGCTCAGGCTGGCCATCCTCTTGCCTTAGACTTCACCACTCCTGCCCTTACTAATCTCATTTTACAGTTAGGAAATATCAGCTCAGAGATGTTAAGTAACTCGCCCAAGGTTACACTGTGAAGAGGTAAAGCATGGATTTAAACCTAATTCTCCAGATTCTAAATTTAGTTCCCTTACCACATTTGCCTCCTGTTACTATGTTTTTCTCTTGTAGTAGTTTATAAGCCCTTGGATTAAGTTGGTAGTAATTTTAGTACAACTGGCAACTGCTTGCTTAGTGCCGAGTCATTGTTGCCTTTCTCTGACCTTAATAGGCCAAGAATCGTACTATGGCAGTGCTTGTGACCTGTCTGGCGCCTACATGGTCCCTCTTATCCTTGGGCAGAGCCCAGTTAGGGGGAGGGGGAAGGAACATAGTAATGGGTCTGCTCCAAGGACACAGATTTACCCAGCACTGCAGACTTGGTCCCATCAGATGTTAATGTTGATTTGAACATGTTTTTGCTGGAGAAACTAAGGTTAAATTTATTCCTTTTGTCTTATAGCCTGGCTTTCGAAAACATCTTGGTCTTCTGGAGAAAAAGAAAGATTACAAACTTCGTGCAGAGTAAGTCCAGTCTTTTTGGCAGGTGTGCTGCCAAGAAAGCTTACAACTTCTCTGCACTGCAACTGAGGGTCTGTGTCCAACTGGAAAATAATTCATGCCATTGATAAAATGGCCAAAGCTCTGGAAATCTGCTGGATATATTTCTCTTTTCCTAAGCTTCTCTCTAAACTAGCTGAATAGCTGCATTAGAAATCATTTTTACTGTGTTGCTCCAGATAATTTCCTCTTACTGGTTTTGATTTGCCCTCTTTCTTTGTGCTTGAATCAAATGGTGAATCTTTTTTTTTTTTTTGGGTCGGGTCGTGGGGCCCGAACTCTGGGTCTGGGCACTGTCCCTCAGCTATTCAGCTCAAGGCTAGTGCTCTACTACTTGAGCCACAGCGCCACTTCCGGCTTTTTTCTTTTTGCTTATGTGGTGCTGAGGAATCGAACCCAGGGCCTCATGCATGCAAGGCATGCGCTCTACCACTGAGCCACCTTTCCAGCCCCTCAAATAGTGAATCTTTTTTCTCCCTTTTCTTGAAGTATGAGATAGGATCTAAAGTTCTATTTTTTGAGTCTCTTACATCACTGTGTATGGAATGGAGTGAAGAAATATGAAAGATGGATTCATGAGCTTACACGTGGATGATAATGAACTTAGAAAACATTTTATTTTATTTTATTTTATTTTTGGGTCCGGTCATGGGGCCTGAACTCTGGGCCTGGGCGCTGTCCCTCAGCTCTTCAGCTCAAGGCTAGTGCTCTACCACTTGAGCCACAGCACCACTTCTGGGTTTCCGGTGGTTTATTGGAGATAAAAGTTTCATGGATTTTCCTGCCCGGGCTGGCTTTAGACCACAATCCTCAGATCTCAGCCTCCTGAGTACCTGGGATTACAGGCCTGAGCCACTGGTGACTTGGCTAGAGATATTTTTTAGGTGTACACATTTTCTTTCTTCCTTCTCCCCCCCCCCTCTCTTTTCTTTCTTTTTTTGGTCAATCCTGGGTGCTGTCCCTCAGCTTTTCCCCTCAAAACTAGTGCTCTACCACTTTAAGCCACAGCACCACTTCTAGTTTTCTGGTGGTTAATTGGAGATAAGAGTCTTCCTGGTCTGGCTTTGAACTATGATCATTAGATTTTAGCCTGCTGATTAGCTAGAATTATAGGCATGAGCCATCAGCAACTGGCTTTTGTTTCTTATCTGTCACTTATGACAGGCCCCAACCTCATATATTAGTTTTCAAATTTAAAAATAAATTGCTTGTAAGATGTTAAATCTAAAAATTTTATATATTTGGGCTGAGGGCCTAGCTCAAATGGGGTGCCTGCTTTGCAAGTTCAAGGCCCATGTTCAAACTCCATCCCTTCAATGAAATAAATGTTTACACAGAAATAAAGGAAAGTTGGGTGCTGGTGGCTCATGCCTGTAATCCTCAGGAGGCTGAGATCTGAGGATTGTGTGTCCAAGCCAGCTCAGGTAGGAGAGCCTGTGAGACTCATATTCGATTAACTTCCAACAAAGAAACAAATGAAGTACAGGTTGTAGCTGTGAATCCCTTTCTCTTCAGGGGGAAGGTAGAGCAGTCAAGCATCTACTCTGTCATTCAGCCTCAAAACAGAAGCCTTTCAGCCCCAAAACGCTCTTTCACCTACACTGCCACAAACTGGTCCCTAGGTCTTGTCTTTGTCCCTACTGCCCCATCTTCTGCCTCCTGGACTACTGCCCAGTGCACGAGAGTCCCGGATAACCTGCTCAATTTACCCCTCCAATCCATTCATTATTCACGCACTGCTAGTAATCTCCTTGAACCCCATCTTCTCTCACCACTCTCTGCTTTTACATATTTGCACAGGCTGCTTTGCCCACAGGGTGAGGTCTGTTTAACTTGGCATCTGACTTCTCAGGAGCTGGGCTCTACCATGCCATTTTAGTCTTTTGGCCACTTCCTTTAAATGCAATGACGCGTTGCTTCCCCACAGCAGCGCATGTTTCCAGGCCGGGGGGGGGGGGGAGAGGGCTTTGGCCAGCTGCTCTCTAAGCTGGGATTGCTCTTCCTCAACAAGTATTTATTGACCCTGCAGTAAATGCCGGGAGCTGAACAGGAGGTGTGAGCCAGGCAGGGGCGAGCCCAGCCCCCGGGTTGGCGGGGAAGGGGAGGGAAACGACACAAGGAGAACCTAAACCGACAAGTGGAAGCTCTTCGTTAGAGGCACTGGCGTTAAGGTGTTTGGTAAGATCTGTCCACAAGGTCCATCAACTCAGGCGTCATAAAGTTGAGGCTTTGCACAGGGGCCGGGAGGGCTTCGAAGCGCGGGTGCACCGGTGACTTCACCCCGGCAGCTCGGTGGCGGGGAGGGTGCCCGTCCCAGTTTCTGCCCTGCGGTGGGGCCCCGCCTTCCCGAGGCCGAGGGGTGGGGCGGTGGACCGGGGTGGGGGGGTAAGGGCCGGGTCTACCCCTCCCTCCCTCCCTAGCCTCGGGCCGCGGAGGCCCCCAGAGCGCACAAACCTGCACCCGCAGCCAGACGGTGCAGCCACCGGGTAGGAGGGAGAGGGGGAGGGACCAGGGGTGCGAGCCCCGCCCATCGCCCCACTTCGGGGACAGTCCCCCCCCCTTCCCACTTATCCCGCCCCCGGCCTTGAATCACGGAGGGGGGAGGCGGGGCCATGACCCATTCATACTGGGAATCGGATCCAGATGTTCCCGCGGCGCGTGCAGCAACATCCTTGCCTTTTTTGGCAAAAAAACGTGCGGCGGGCGAGCGGATCCGGATCCCGGGCCGCCCCCACTAATCCTCGGGAAGGGGGTGATGGTGATGGTTAAAAGACCTGAGGGTCTGCCTGACTGGGGAATCTAGGCGCCTGCACTGAGGGGGGGGGTGGGGAATCGGGGCGGAGCTGTTAGGGGAGGGAGAACCCCACTGTCTTCTGGCTCCAGTCTGGGACCTCCCTTCCCTACTGGGAGCTTGAGCCCTCTGCCAGCAGGGGGTTGGCAGGCCAAGCTTGGAACAGCCCGGTAGCTGCTGTGGGGGATCCCCTTCCTGGGGGGGGTGGGAGGGGCTTTCCCACCCCATGGCCCGCCCCACAGAAGTCTAGAAGAGCTAGCTAGAGTCGGCAAAGAAAAGCTTTGTCACCCTCTGGACAGACCAACACGCAGAGGCCTGGGCCTCCTCACACTGCTTTATTGCAGAATCTAGGACAGGGTGAGCTAACCCGCACCCCTCTCTGCCCATCTCTGGGCTAGATGGAGCTGAAATAAAATGAGAAGATGGACATGAGCTGGGCAGCCCCCAGTACCTTAGGACCCCCACCCGATGCTCTGGGGATGCAGATGGGACTTAGGCAGGGTGGAATAAAAAAAGACAGAGGGCTTTTGAGGACTTCTCAGACACAGATAAGAAACTTTAGGTGGATTCAGAGAAGTCTAGACTGAAGTCTAGAAGTCTAGACTGATCTGGGTCCCAGTGTCTAGATTTGGAGGGCTGGGAATCTAGAGCCCTGATTTGGTTGAGGGAGCTTGATCTGGAAAGTCAGACTGTAGGAGAGGGCTCAGTTCTGGAATTCAGATTTGGGATAGTGCAGCTTGAATCCAAAAGAGCCTGAGTTTGGGGGCCCTGGGTAAGTGAGTACCAGTTGGGGTGTGATGGAATAGGGGAGACAATCTTGAAGCTCAGGAGAAGCCTCATTCTGGGGAGGAGCTGGATCCCAGAGATGGTTCAGGAAAGTAGCCAGAGTCCTGGTGTCCTGGAGCCCTGGTTTGGGAAAGCCCAGGCCAGGAGCCCTGGCTCAGAGCCCTTCCTGGCTGCAGCCCTGGCACATCACTTGGTCTCCACTGGGCACAAAGCCTTGGCCCACCAGGGAGGTGGAGCAGCGGGCGCAGCAGAAGCAGCTGTGGTGCCAGTGCCGGTCTTCATAGGACACGTACTTGCCTCCACCAAGTCCTGAAGAGAGGTTAGTGCTGCAGATCTGGGGTGACTCCTACCCCACAGCAGTACCCACTACCACACCCAGCCCTTGCCTGCACCCTCCTCCACCTGTCCCACCTGTGATGGGGCTCTTGCAGCTGCTGCACTTGGGTGCAAAGAGTTCTCCAAAACAGGCCACGCAGTAGGGATCCTCATCCCGAGAGGTGAACTGCTGTCCTGCCAAGGGTGTCTGGCACCCAGTGCAGACCAGGCATTCTCGATGCCAGGGCTGATCGCGGTATGTCACTCCCCCCTGGGTCAGCGTCTGCAGGGGTAGCATCCATCAGCAGAGGGAGTGGGTATTCCCATCCCACACAGCAGGCCTTACCCCTAGCCCGCTGGCCCAGCCCCCACCTTGCTGCAGCGGGCACAGCGAGGAGCAAACTTGTTCTCATAGCAGGGCACGCAGTAGTGAGCACCCTTGTCGGGCACAAAGGAACGTGAGCCCAGCGGCTGCTCACAGCCACTGCACAGGAAGCAATGTTCATGCCACGTCTGGCCTCCATATTCCAGCTTCCGGGACCCTGTGGGAAACAGGAGTCCCACTTAGAGGCTGTGTCCCAGCTCCTGAGGGCCACTCTGCTAACCACCCCTTCCCCAGCATCCCTACTGCTTCTATAGCCTGAGCAGGGTGGTATCCACACACATGCAGCAAGACCCCCACCATGTATATTGCACTTGCTAGGCTCTCCCCAAACACTGGACACTGTGTTCAACACGTTAGGCAAGTGTGTTAAGCCTCTGTATGTCTGATAATATTATCCTCAAGATTATTTTAACATCCTCCATGTAATCGACATGTTGATTCAGTACATGCTAAGCCCTTATACACCAGAAATGAATTTCTCACACACACACACACACACACACACACACACACACACACACACAGAGGAAAGCCCACATATACTATGCAAGCAAATCTCTTCCTGCACTAAGTACTAATGTCCTAAGTATGGGATGTGTAGTATATGGTGTGTGTGTGTGTGTTTTGTGCCAGTACTGGGGCTTGAAGTCAGGGCCTAGGCACTGTCCTTTAGTTTTTTTACTCAAGGCTCATAGTGCTTTACCACTTGAGTCAGAGCTCCACTTTGGATTTTTGCTGATTAATTGGAATTTCATGAACTTTCTTGTCTTTGAATCAGGATCCTCAGATCCCAGCCTCCTGAGCAGCAAGGTTTATAGGTATAGGCATGTTACACTCCTCCATGTTCCTGACATGTTATTCTCCATACATGCCAAGTCCTCACATGTCTGTCAGACAAGCATGTGGGTCTCTACACATGCTTGGTTTAACCTCTCCTCCCGCAAAGTTCCAATGCAGCAAGCACAAGTCTTAGCACACCCTAAAGTTCCTCTATGCATGCAGGTTCACATACCACACATGCTTAGCTCTTAGGAGAGCACCAGTTTTTGCACCTGCCCAGTTTTCAAGGGCAGACTGGATGTGCCAATCCCTGTGAACCTCACTGGCACACCAGATTTCCAGGAACGTACTGCCTGTGCAAGCATGTGTGTGCATGTCATGCGAGCTACCCATGTGTGCCTCCATATATGTATCAGGCAAATGTGAAGGTGCCAGGCATGCCACCCTGGATGAGGCCCCTGGGACGTACCAGGCATGACGGTCTCTCCACAGGCAGAGCACTGTGAGGAGAAGGCGCTGCAGTAGCAGTCATTGCAGAGCAACTCTCTCTCCTGGCAGGTGAAGGGCTCATCAGCTAGTGAGCGCTGGCAGCGGCAGCAGCGGAAACAGCCCTCGTGGAAGTGGCGGTCCTCATAGAACAGCTCCTGTGGAGGCATGGCAGGGATACTGGCACCCAGGAGAGGTAGACCCATCCTCTGCCTCCTCCTGCCAGGGTCCACTCTTTTTGCCCTGCCTTGTCTGGTTCTTACCCTGGAGTCATGCCCAATAAGCTGCTGGCACTCAGCACAGGTGTTGGCAAAGGTGTCATCATAACAGGGCACGCAGTAGGGACCGCTGTCTGTCTGGATGTACTTACGGCCAAACAGGGACTCGCAGCATTTTGCACAGTCGAATGTCTCGCTCATTGTTGCAATGTGAGTGAGCCCTGTTAGGAAGAGAACGTGGGGTAGGGGTCATCCACAATGGCTCTAACTTATCCCGTAGTAGAGAGCAATTTGCATTAAACAAAAAAAAAAAAAAGGAAGGTGGTTCAAAGCCAGCCTGGGCAGAAATATCCATAAGACTCCAATTAACCAGCAAAAAGCTGGACGTAGAGATGTGCATCTTAAGTGGATAGAGCACGTGTGTGTGTGTGTGTGTGTGTGTGTGTGTGGGCGCGCGCGCGCCAGTGCCAGTCCTGAGTCTTGAACTCAGGTGCTGTCACTTTAGCCGCAGCTCCACTTCCAGCTTTTTTTGCTAGTTTATTGGAGACAAGAGTCTCAGAGACTTTCCTGTCTGGGCTGGCTTTGAACCATGATCCTCAAATCTCAGCTAGGATTTATAGGCGTGAGCCACTGGTGCCCCGCTAGAGCATTATCTTTGTGTGAAAAAAGTGAAGGGACAGTATCCAGGCCCTGAATACAAGCCCAGTACAGGCACAAAAGCAAACCAACCAACAAATGAAAGCAAGAAGAAACCAGGCACAAGAAAAGCCAGATGATGGGCTGGGAAGGTGGCTCAGTGGTAGAGCGCTTGCCTTGCATGCCTGAGGCCCTGGGTTCGATTCCTCAGCACCACATAAGCAAAGAAAAAAAGCCGGGAGTGGCGCTGTGTCTCAAGTGGTAGAGCGCTAGCCTTGAGCTGAAGAGCTGAGAGCTGAGGGACAGCACCCAGGCCAAGAGTTCAGGCCCAGGACCGGAACCCTCCCCCCCAAAAAAAAGAAAAAAAGTCAGATGAGCCAGAGGGCAGCAGGTGCGGCTAGAGAAGGGCTGCTCTGGAAACTCAAAAGTCCTACGTATTTATTTCTGTAAAAAAAGTGGAAAAGGGTCAGGAAAAAAAAGTCAGGAAGCAGAGTTGTTTTCTTATCTTGGCCTTGGCAGATCTGGGGGGGAAGGGGCTTTTCCTGGGTCAGTGACTCATTTCCTGCCCAGCCTAAGGTTAGCTTTCATGTCCCTCACTGTCCAGGATAGCAGGGACAGGAAGCCCCCTACTCTATATCAGATGGACAGCCCTCTCACCTTCTCCTGAACCCCCCACCCCCCTGGGTATAAAAGAACCTTTACCTAGAGCTCTGACCTGAGAAGTTAGGGAATGAGAAGGGGCAGTGTAGGCCCCATCCTGATCCAGGAAATGGTGGAATGCTAGAGCGATGCTGGACTGGTGAAGCATGGAGGGTGGTGTCAGAAGTCGGGCCTCCCCTCCCAGGAGGACCAGCCAAGCAAAAGGAATTTGAGACATTCAGCCTACGTTTAGGCAGGAAGGAAATCCTGCAAGCTGGACACAGCTAAGTGTCCCCAGCTGGACCCTCTACCTTCATCCCCTTCCACCCTTGCTGTGTCTCTGGTCACATCAGTCTGGGCAGCCTTGCCTGCAAACATCTGCTGCAGCTGTGCTGGCACTGAGGGCCAGCTGTCAGATTCTGCCAGCAGGAGGGAGAAAAAGGGAAAACGAGATGCCAGGGGAAGCAGAAAGGAATTGGAGACAAGAACAGAGTGCCCCTTGGCACCTTCTGCCAGGCATCTCTCTTGGCTGCATCTCAAAGTCTTCAGGGCCCTTCTCTTCTCTGGGTCACGATTTCCAATCCCCTACCTCTGGAGAAACAGCCTCTGCCCATCTTTCCTGATTCCTCGGTATCTGAGACTGAGTGTGAAGGGTGGAAGAGACCTGTCTTCCCCAATCAGGCCCCCTTCTTAGGTGGGGAGGACATAGGGGAGTCCTAAGAGCTATTGCTACAGACACCCAGCCCCCCACCAAACCTCAGACACTTTCCATTTTCTCAGGAACAAAGCATGTTTGTGGGATGAGGTCATCCACACAGCTGCCTGTGGAACAGGAACATGAGGAACAAGGGTGTGCGTGCGCATGTGTGTGGAAAGTGGGGTTCCCAATCCCTTCTACAGCCTGATTCCAGGCTCTGGCTCCAAAGTCCAAGCTCCTGGACTCTGGCTTCCTCCACCACGAAGCCTGCTCCCAGAGAATTGGGTGGTGAAGAGGACCCATAGGAAGGGGATGGATGTACTCCGAGCTGTACTATAGGCCTAGGGAAGTTAATGGGAAGTACAAAAGAACCCACCAACCCCCTTTCCTGCACTATTAGATTTTTGGACTAGTAGTCCCCAGAGCCTGCCCTGGCTCAAGTTGAAGGAAAAAGCCCTGCTCTTCTCAGCCACCCCCAACGGGAAATTCTCACCAACAGCGTCACTCTGGCTTGGAGTTCAGACTTCAGGCGCCAACAGATGCTCTAAGCCTGTAGGGCCTGAATCTTTGGGGCTTATGAGTTTGAAGCCTTCCTTCTGTACAATGGTAGAACACTCCAAGAGGAGCACATGGTGACTAGAGCTAGGATCTTCAAAGCAAGAACCTTTAGGGTAAGGTCTAGGCTGTAAGGTGGAGAGTATCTTCCCTGACACTAGGGTTTTCCTCTGGCCCAGTATCTGAGGATTGCCTGGGCTGTAAGCCACTGGGCAGCAGGGGGCCACACAGATGGAGTTCAGCCATGTGCCCTGGGTCTTTTCCTTCCTGGTTTGGCCAGCAGCAGCAGCAGCAGCAGCCACCTTCCCAGGCCCAGGCTAGCCCTGGATCCGCCCTCTGGGAGCTTGGGCACTGAGACTGGTTACCCCAAATAGGGTATGGGTGTGGCTTCAGCTTCCTTCCCAGAATCCCCCAATCCCTTAATCTATCCAGATGGACTCTGATGAGGGCAGTAAAGGGCACCATCAAGCCCACCTGTCTCTGCCTGTCCCTGTCCCTCCCCCTTTCTCTGGCAAGGCTGCAGGACCGAACGGGTAAGGGTAGTCTTATATTCCTTTCTGGCTGATAAGGGCAGGATTTACAGGAGATGGCTTGCATCCCCTTTGCCTACCAACACACACCACTATACCTAGACCTAGATACAACACACCACCCCTTTCCTTCCCCAGTAAACCTCCTGGAGCTCAGAATAGCCACACATCTGTATAGTGCCATAGTGTGTATAGACTTGCACAAGCTGTGAAATATAAACCAGAGTTGGCATCCTGTGACTTTGGACAAGTCACACACCCTGAGCCCAAGAGTCCATCTAATTAAATGAGATGATGCTATCTTCTACCTTCTGGAGTTGTTGTCAGACTTAAATATGAGAAACCTTGCAAAGCACCTGGCAGGTAACAACTCCTCAGGAAACTGTAGCCATCTGTATTTTCTCTATGAGCCCCTTGCTGGCATCTGACAGGTCTCCAGCAAACCTGGATCAGGGAGCTGGCCTGGACATTTTCAGAATAGGCCGAGAGAGAATAGTGGAGGTCGGAGGCCCATGTGTCTAGCAGGGAAAAATACTGGGACCAATAGTGATTCCAGCCTAGTTAGCCTGACTCCAGTGGGCATAGCTATAAGAGGTCTCATACAGGTACACAGGTGTACACACCTATTTTCTGCTCTGTCCTCACAAAGTACATTCCCACTATCGTCTCATCAGATCTCACAAAAGGCAGGCAGAGCACAGCACAAAGCAGCCAGGGACAGGGCAGGGACATGGCCAAGGTTGCTCAGGTATCAGAGGAGGCTCTTGTGCCTTACAACCTGGAGTCCTCTCCTTGGAGATGCTTCAGTGGTGGTAGAGAGGGTGGTCAGCTTTTCAGCAAAGGGAGGACAGGAGAGACACCAGAGCCCAGCTTTCCTCCCCCCAGTCCTGTGATTGGAAGACACCCAGAAGCCTTCCCAATTACCCATGCCAACTGCTCAACCCTTTTGTCTACCCCCCACCCCACCCTCTACCATACACAGTCTAAGAGGACCTAGGCCAGGCCTCACAGCTGTGAGTCAGAATCACAGCAGACCCCTCCCCCAACTCCTAGGAGTTGACAGGAGACTTAAAGGAAAGAAATAGAAGTCCTCCTCCACTGCCCCCCCACTCCCCTCCCTGCTACCAGGCATTAACCCCAAACTCTGCTCTCCCTCTCCCTCCCCCACAAAGCTTGGAAGTCCAAGCAGTTTAGGGGAAAGGGGGTGGGGAGCAGATCTGGCAGCTGCTCTAGGGATAGGAGAGGAACAGTTCATTCACCCGGGTCCCCCAGGGCTGAAGCAGCTCTTCCAAGATTTGAGTTTAAAAATAAGTTAAGGCTGTCTTGGTGGTTGAGTTTTGTGCACAGGGCTCCTTTTTTATCTCTCTTAGTCTCAGGCCCTCAGCTTTCTGGATGATCTTAGAGTCCTATCTCCCCATAGCTTTGTTAACACCCCCCCCCTTCCCAGTCAAGGCTGGATCTTTCTTGGAGGTCTATCTCAGAGCCCTAGCCGGCCTCCACTCAGCAGTTTTGCACACTTAGGCTGCTGTCTTTAGGTCCAGGTCTCTCTGAATCTCTAAAGAGGTTCTTCCTCCACTCTGGAGATCTCTATTTCTCTCTGTATATCCCATGTCTTGATGTCTCAGGGTCCCTAAAGGGCTGGACGTCTGGTTTCACCACCCCCTCTTTATCTGTCTCAGCATCCAGTCCTTGATCTCTTAGCATCTCGGCCGGCCGGGAGTGTGTCTCTAGTAAGGTCTCTAAGGCCTGAGGCAGATTTAGCATGAGCCTAAGGAAGCTCTAGCCTCAGGGCCCTTCCCGGCCTTGGGAAGGGCCCAGCTAAGTGTGCTTTTTCTTCAAATGCTCCCCATAACCCGGATCCACTCCTTGCCTTGGGTCCTGTAGCTCAGCAGCTCAGTCCGTCCAGCCTGGGTCCCTGTTTGAATAGTCTCCTGCAGCCTCCGGTGGCTGGTGTGTCCCTGTCTGTCTCGGTCTCTCCCTTCGACAGGCTTTCGAGAAGCCTCATTTTCTCCAACCCTCCACTGTCCCTCTCGATTTTTCAATTTTAAACGTGATCCCCTCCCCCGCCCAACTCTCGCAGCGGCTCCCGCCCAGCCGGGGTGGTCGGAAAAGGGCGCGCTCCTGGGCTCCGCGTGTCCCGGGAGCCCGCGGTGGAACCGGGCGGAGGACCGGAGGCAGAAGTGTGGGGAGGGGGGGGCGGGCGGCTCGCGGGGCCCCCTCTGCACCCCGTGGTTCCGGCGCGGAGCCGG